GACAGGATTCTTCCTCAGCAACCACACTGTGCTCAGTCTGCAGAAGCAGCAGGAAAGTTACTGGATCGTACTGGTTCTGTGTCTACATTTCATTCTCTGAGATGAGAAATCAATCTCTGTAATTTCCTTCCCCTTCATCATTCCCCAAAAAGCATTTATTAAAGCAACTTATTTCCATGACACGCTTATCTATTAAAGTGGCAAGATTTAGATAAATGAAAAGTGTACCATGGAGAGTTGGGTCAAATGGTCTCCTCACTGTCAGGAAGGACCAGGTGTGAAAGGGCAGACTTAGCATCCTGGCATCTGAGCTAAGGAGATTCTCACATGTGTAAGGGTAGGCAACTACCTGGCGATGGAAATCTTTTAAGAAAATGCAGCAAGAAGGAAATTCCCAATTATACGTGTGGGAGCTGAAACAATCTTCAAGTCCTTCCCACTGGATTATTGCAAGAATGTCATTGTATGGGGGTTGTCCCACGTGGGGGTAAAGTGGGGGAGGATTTCCTGTGACCACCCTCGCCACACCTCAACTTCTCCTCTGCTTCTCCCTCTTTGTTTCTCCATTGTCTTTTAAGCATAACCCATGCAGGATGTAGAACCTGAGTGTATTGTGTAATTTTCTTGACCTGCTGAATGCAATCTTACCTCATTTTTGCTGCTAATTTTATTTGTGAGGATTGGAACCATTATAGTACTTGTAAAACTCAAGTGGCATATAGATAGCCTCAGGTAGGTGGAGCCAAATCACCACTTTCACAGTGGAAATACACTCAGCAACACAGATTATTTTCCTGGCCCAACAAGAGCCTCCTAAGCTGAAAAAGAATGTCCTTCCTGTTCAGCTCTGTCATATCTTGAATATTTTTGGAAGGTGCCACAGAGAGACTCATGTTGTACAATCATGTCTTGTGATAAGCATAAAAATCTATAAGCAAAGTGGGCTCCTGTGGCTCATGCCTGTAATCCTAACTACTCAGGAGGCTGAGATCTGAGGATCACAGTTTGAAGCCATTCAAGCAGGAAAGTCCATGATACTCTTATCTTTGATTAGGCAGCAAAATCCAGAAGTGGAGCTGTGGCTCAAGTGGTAGAGTACTAGCCTTGAGCAAAAAGGCTTAGGGACAGCCCCCAAGCCCTGAGTTCAAGTCCCAGGACTGGCACACACACGAAAAGATGTAGACATACACAAAACAAAATGGCAGCAGGCAACCACTTCTGATGAATATTTCTGCAAACTCCTGTTTGAATGTATTTAACAAATATGTATCATGTTAGCATCATAGTACCACATGCCCAAAATAACATACAGAGACAGTGTAGCTCTGGTTTCTGATGAGCGCTACAATTCCTGTTGGCACTCTACTCGCTGAAGCTTCAAAAGGAAAAAAAATTAATTTCAAATTTCCTTAACTGTGTATAGGCCAGTGTAATAAATTATACTGCATGTATTAGTTTTGGCTAGCTTAATTGGAACAATGAAAATTTAGTACCCTAGGTGTTCCTGTACTTATATGAGGTTATTGAATACTCATGTGGTCCTAATTCTGTGAGAGAGTAGGAACTATTTCTGTTTGTTACAGAGGGTAGGAAAGTAGGCAGAGATTCTAATTGCTGTGGGCTAAATTCGCCAGCTCAGCAATATAAGCTTCCTTCCTTCCATTCAAATGATTTCACATTTCTTAATGACCTCTGCAGCACAGGAAAATAGTATATGCATTGTCTATATTCATATTAAAAGTCCACAGGATTGTGCCTATTTGTCTTTCACATAGACACACGTTCATGACTTTTTTTTCTCCCCTATAGCGACTGGATGTTGGAAGGAAGTCTGGGCAAACTGGAAGGAGAAGAAAATAAACATCACCCTACTTCTGTGGAACTGACCCTCTCTGTGGCCTGTGTCTGTTCAAAGTTAATGAGAGACTTGTGATTGTGTCTTTCTGGTGTTGTCAATGAAAAATATTTTTTTCTGTGGAAAGTTTATCTCAGTGGCTACGGCTTTTACTCATTCTTTGGCTGTGATTTTTGTCCATTAAAAAACCCACAGGGTTGCCTTGCATGCATGAGGCTCTGGGTTCAATTCCTCAGCACCACATAAGTGGAAAATGTTCGAAGTGGCACTGTGGCTCAAGTGGTAGAGTGGTAGCCTTGAGTTGAAGAGCTGAGGGACAGTGCCCAGGCCCAGAGTTCAGGCCCCACGACCAACCCTCCCCCCAAAAACCCACAACCCCCCCCACAGGTTTTCATCCTTAGGAAGTCTCAGTGGTAGCAGGAAAGAAATATGGAAACATTTTGCAGAGCAATCTGTGATCATGACTGGAGATTATACCTGTGTCTTTTCAGTTGTCCTGTTATGTGTCTAAACACTCAGTAAATAAATAATTACCAATCAATCTATCGGTACTGGGTCATCTGATGTCCTGTGTCTCATTGTGTTGATTCTTGTCTTGCCCCATCCTAATGGCACGTTTTTCAATGGAGTTCACTTATTCAGCATGTATTTATTGAGATGCTTGCTCTTGTCAGTCAATATCCTAGATGCCCATAACAGTATTGAAAGTTTACTTGGAGAACACTTTGACTCTTAGGGAAAAAAATTGATAACCAAGATGAAACCTGGATCCAGTCAATGAGATGGAGTTATGTTATGATGTTCTCCACTCGAGGCCTGGGTATTATTGTTTGAAAAGTGCATCTGCCCTATGGAGTCATGACTAACTCTAATCACAAATTCTGATAACAACTCCTGGCAGAAAAAAAGATGCACATTGGTTGGTGCCATATTATCCTTCTGCTCCAAAGTAAGAATAGGGTCAGGCATTTGATTGTCCAGTAGAACCATCAAAGACAATGATACTGTTTTATACATGTCAAATAGCTACCAGAGAGGATTTTGGTCTCACCATAAAACAAATGGTAACAAATGTTTGAGGTAAGGAGTATAGTGATGACACTGATTTGATCATGACAGTCTACACAACAGTTACACAAATTGAAATAGCACAATGAACCATATGTTCATATGTACATATGTATAACTTATATGTCAATTGAAAGTATATTTAAGCCGGATCCTCAGGACGCTGAGATCTGAGGATTATGATCCAAAGTCAGCTGAGGACGGAACGTCTGTGAGACTCTTTATCTTCAATTAACCACCAAAAAGCTGAAAGCAGAGCCTGTGGCTCAAGTACTAATACTAGCTTTGAGCACAAAAGGTCAGGGATAGCATCCAGGCACCGAGTTCAAGACCCAAGGCTGGCACACACACACACACACACACACATAAAAGTGTCAATTAAAAAAGTTCAAGCTCCCCCCCCCCCACATATCCCAAACCCTAATTAGCTCACTGAACTGTTAACAAACCCTGTTTGTCAAATTTGGGAATATGTAAATGAGCAGCAAGTTCCCACAGTCCCTTTTGTCAAAGGACTGATACTGTGTCCACTGAAGCTATCAACTTCCTTCCCAGAGAAGACAGTCTTGTGTTCTCCCAAGGAAAGTGTAGAATTTGCATATTTTAAGCATTAAACCCATATAATAAAATAATAAAATATGGCCTATTTTAAAAGAGAAAAATCTTGATACAACATAAGAGGTTGAATCTAAATGTATTATTACTTACAATAAAAATAAGATATCAGCTGGGAGCTGATGGCTCGTGCTTGTAATACTTGTTACTCAGGAGGCTGAGATCCAAGGATCAAGCTAGCTGGGGCAAAAAAAAAAAAAATCTGCGAGACTCTATCTTCTGCGAGACTCTATCTCCAAATAACCAGCAAAGACACCAGGAAGTGGTGGTGTAGCTCAAATGGTAGCACCAGTCTGGAGCTAGCAAGAGCGTGAAGCCCTGAGTGCTGGGCCCCAAGTCCCAGCCCCCCACCCCCCACACACACATGATCACCGCTCCTACTGAAGGTCTGCGGCATGCCACCTTGTGGTCACTTCTGTACTACATCCCCCTGGCCCAGTGTACACACACACACACACACACACACACACACACACGATCACAGCTCCCACTGAAAGTCTGCGGCATGCCACCTTGTGGTCACTTCTGTACTACATCCCCCTGGCCCAGTGTACACACACACACACACACACACACACACACACACACACGCGCGCGCGCGCGCGCGCGCGCGCGATCACAGCTCCTTTTTTCCTACTGAAAGTCTGCGGCATGCCACCTCGTGGTCACTTCTGTACTACATTTCCTATTGACTTGAGTCCTAACGAGAGCTGCACGTATTGACAGGAGTCCGGGCATCCACTAGTAAAGAAAGAGATGGGAGCCGGGCGCCTGTGGCTCACACCTGTAATCCTAGCTACTCAGGAGGCTGAGATCTGAGGATCGTAGTTCAAAGCCAGCCCAGGTAGGAAAGTCCGTGAGACTCTGATCTCCAATAAACCACTAGAAAACCGGAGTGGCGCTGTGGCTCAAGCGGTCGAGCGCTCAGCGCCTTGAGCTGAAGAGTGCAGGGACAGCGCCCGGGCCCAGAGTTCAAGACATGGGGGGTGGAACTGTGAGTCCTGCACGGACACACGGCTGGGGCCGGGGCAGGACACGGGACCGGGTGGGTGACCTTGTGTCAAGCAGTCTTGAACGGCTCCTAATTTAAATGCACCAATTTCTCTGCCCGGTCTTGGTGCAGAGGGCGGGCAGGGCAGTCGGCTCACGCAGGTGTGTGCAACAGGTAGAGCATCCTTGGACTTTTCTCGGAACTCTGACCACTTCCTTCTTTCACTTCGGAGCATTTGAAAAGCTCGAGCCCAAGATGCGCTTTACACTTCACGCAGAACCACCGGGACTGGACAGGTCCACGTCTCCCAGGCTGTACCACGCAGGCGCCCACAGCCCAGGACCCGCCCCTCCCCGGCCCCGCCCACAGCCCCACCCCTTGCCTCACGCCACGCCCCCACGCGCGCCAGCCGGCGCGGCGGCTCGGCGCGGGCTGGAATACGTCACAGCGCGCAGGCGCATTTGGGAACCCGCGCTTTTCGGACGTTACCGGCGGTGCGGCCAGCTGCAGGTGTGCGGTGAGAGTCGCGGCGTGGTGCGGGACGCCGTTGGCCCGCGCGGCGCCCAGGGCGGGGGACGTGACTATCGGGCGGGCTCGGCGTCGGCGCGGGGAGGCGGACGGGGTGGGGGGGGCTGGTGGTCCCCGCAGAGTCCCCGCAGGGTCCCCGCTGGCCGGAGCACGTTCGGCCGAGCCCAGGCCCCGCCGGCGGCGGGCCGAGCGGCGCTGTCTGTGGCTGACAGGTTCGGGGACAGCTGACTGGAGCCAGCGCCGTGAGAGAGCCGGAACCGCATACTGCGGAAAGCGACTGGTTCTGAAGCGAGAGCTGCTTGGCTCACGGCTTGTAATGACAAAGGCTGAGGTCCAGAGGGATGGCGGCCCCGAACCATGGCGGGGCAAACCAAAGGCCCTAATAAGACTCTATCTCCTATGAACTTAGCAAGAAGCTGGTCTTGAGGTGTGTCGCGACTGGTCGATCACCAGCAGGGCGAGCAAGTCAAGCAAGCACAGGGCCTGGAGCTCAAGCACAGAAGTAGTACACACGGACTGAGCATCCCTACTTTGAAACCTGACATGCTGCCAACCAGCGTCAGAAACTAGCTGAACACTGCACGTGACATCTTCAAGGAGAGACCTCGACAGGTTTCCCATCTAGTTATTTAAGATATTCTGTAAAAATCAACCTAAAGGTTACAGGGAGGATGTATATAAACCACTAACAAGTTTCACGGTTAAAGTCCCCCTTTCATAAGATATCTCAGAGACAGACAGATGATGTAGGTAGATAATTTCCTGGAAATCCAAAACACTCAGGCCCCAAACATTTGGGGTCAGAGCTACTCAGCTGGTAGTATGAGATGCATTCTGCTGATGTGGCATACACAGTCCCTGAGGTATGAAACTAGTGTTTTATGGGGAACTTTTGAGTGCTTGTAGAGTGTTGTTTCTGCACTCCTTTTATAGGTAGAAACAGACAGATGAAGAGAGCTACCCAAGCTGAGTATGGTGGTCCCTTTCTGTAATCACAGGCAGGAGGTGGAGGTAGAAAGATTGAGGAGAAACGTTAGTAGACCCTGCCTGATAAATAAACACGACTCTGGGCTTGGTTCTATTGGTAGAGCATTCATGTGCCCTGCATTCAAGGCCTAGTAGTATCAAAAGGAAAAAGGAAACATCTACTGACTGGCAGATAATGGACCCAGGATCTAAACACAGACCATCTGCCTTCAGATCCATGTGCTTTTAATTCCTGTGCTGTTTGGGAAGCAGAGCTCTGTGAAAGGCCTGTCCAGTATGGTACATGATAGAAGCTGTGCTAGCACTTTAATAGGTTATTATTATTTTATTATTTTTGTGCTAGTACTGGGGCTTGAACTCAGGGCCTGAGCACAATGTTCCTAAGCTTCTGTTGCTTAAGGCTTAGAGCTCTACTGCTTGAGCTACAGCTCCACTTCTGGCTTTTTGCTGATTAATTAGAGATAAGAGTCTCACAGCCTTTTCCACACAGGTTGACTTTTTTCTTATGTGGTGCTGAGGAATTGAACCCAGGGCCTCGAGCATGCAAGGCAAGTACTCTACCACTGAGCCACCTTCCCAGCTTAAAATTTTTTATTGCTTGCTGGATACACATGGCTTGTATCTGTAATCCTAGCTACTTATGAGGCTGAGATCTGAGGATTGTGGCTAAAGCACAGAAAAGCTGTGATGCTTATCTCTAGTTAGCCACCAAAAAGCTGGAAGTGGAGTTGTGGTTCAAGTGGTAAAACACCAGCCTTGAAAGAAAAAGCCAACTGAGAGCTTGAGGTCCTGAGTTCAAGTCCCAGTACCAGCTCACAAACGCGCGCACACACACACATTACTATGACTTTGTTGGTAAATTCTACAGTTCCAAGAGCATGATGTGTTCATCTACATTCAGATGTATTCTACATTCAGAATCACATGATTCTGTTCAAATACAGGTTAATGTGGAGAGGCTTAATGACAATAACCTGAGAGGAGTCTAAGGGACAAGCGCTTTACTAGTAGATTGTTTGGTTTATTTTCTCTCATGTTCCCTGTGTTTTAGCAGTGTCAGTGAAATTGGGAAATAGTGAGAGATACTGTATTATCCTGTTTTTAGTGCTGTGCATTGACCCCTAACGTGATTAAATATTTCATGGTGCTCAGTTATGATTCTGCAGCTCAATCTGTGACCTTTGCTAGGTGTCAAAGAGCATTGCGGATATGGTGAAGGACACAGAACCTGGGATGAAACTGGACACTTGACTTCTGGTATCATTTATAACCAGCAGTGTGACCTGCAGTAAGTTTCTTAATCTCTGCCTCATTTTTACATTTTCCTAGTAGTGATAACATTAGTAGTTTTCAGGTTATTTTTGTATTAATTACATGATTTGATTCTTACAAAAGTCTCTCACTTGATAGATGAGAAAACCAAAGGCCCACGTATAGTAGACGGCTGGTTTGGGAGTATTCATCTAAATTTTCTTAGAAACTTGACATAAACTTTTTTTTTTAATTGTTTTTATTTATTTATTTAAAATTTTATTTTTATTTTTTGTGAACATACTGTACAGAGGGGTTACAATTACATGGGCAAGATAATGAGTACATTTCTTACCAAGCATTGCAGCCTCCTCCTTTGTTTACCCTTCACATCCCTTCCCACTCCCTCCCCCCCCCCCCCACGCACCAAAGTTGTAGAGTTCGTTTTTGACATGACAACTTGTATTTCTCATAGTTGCATTGGGTCCACCTGTATCCTTAAACGACTTGTTTTTCCCCATCTCCTCCACAAATTATACCAACATCAAATATAGTGAAAGCAGGGGTTATACTGTGGGAGAGGGACAAAAAAACTATAAAGAAATAATCTTATAAATGAGTTAGAAACAAATGCATGAAAGAAAAAAACATTTAAATATATATCTAAGGGTTCATTTTCCTAACATCACATTATCTGACCTTTTCTGCTTGACTCATCCATATACTAGATATTGCAAATAAGGGAAACCATGGGACCTATATTTCTTTGGGCTTGGCTTACTTCACTTAATATAATTTTTTCCAAATCTTTCCATTTCCTAACAAATGGGGCAATATCATTAGAAACTTGACATAAACTGGTTTGTGTGTCTCTGTACTTGCAGCTTTTTTTCCATATTGCCTTTCTTTTGCTAGTTTATTAATTCTTCCTATGTAAGACTTCTGGATCATTTTGTTTGCTGTGGTGATTATTAATGTAGCTAAAACAACACCTAAAAAAAAGATGAGATGAGTGGATCCAAAGAATGTGGTACCTATATACACAATGGAATTTTACATAGCCATTAGAAAGGATAATACTATGTCATTTTTAGGGAGATGGATGGACCTAGAACAAATCATGTTAAGTGAGTAAGCCAAGCTTAGAAATGCAAATGACATGTTTTTTCTTATATGCAGAAACTAGATCTAAAATACACTGGAACATGATAAATTATACAAGACATACATAGTGAGACCAAAGGAGGATGTTCTTAGAAGAGGAACACAAAGGCACAATGCTATGTGCATCTGATCATAAAAATAATATTTATCAAAATGAACTTTAAGAAATGGAAACAAGGTTTTGTGTTGTTGTTGGTCGTGGGGCTTGAACTCTGGGCCTGAGTGCTGTCCCTCAGCTCTTCAGCTCAAGGCTAGCACTCTACCACTTGAGCTACAGCGCCACTTCCGGTTTTCTGGTGGTTTATTGGAGATAAGAGTTTCACAGACTTTCTTGCCCGAGTTGGCTTTGAACCATGATCCTCAGATCTCAGCCTCCTGAGTGACTAGGATTATAGGCGTGAGCCACTGGTGCCCGCCTAGGATTTTTAGTTGAAAAAAAAAAAGAACAAAAAAAGAGATGTGCTGTTAAGCCAATATCAGTTTGTCTCTATGTCTTGAATGCGTGAAGTCTAATTAAGTATATATTATAATGTGTCCTTAGGACTTTCACCTTATAAATAAATCCAGTTTACCTTTCTTAGCAGAACTTTCTGAACTATATTTAAAATATTGTCTTTTTGTCCTAGATGCTGACTGCTCTTCAGTTTGGTTATTTGTTATAGAACTTTCAACATGCAGACCTCTAGCTCTAGGTCTGTGCATCTGAGTGAATGGCAGAAGAATTACTTTGTAGTTACATCAGGCACTTGTACCTCAAAAGAGAAGGCAGATGCATACCGTGCACAGGTGCTGCGCATTCAGTATGCCTGGGCGAACTCTGAGATCTCCCAGGTCTGTGCTACCAAACTGTTCAAAAGGTATGCCGAGAAATATTCTGCAATTATTGATTCTGACAATGCTGAAACTGGCCTGAATAACTATGCAGAAAACATCTTAGCTTTGGCAAGGTGTCAGCAGACTGACAGTGAGAAATGGCAGTCGGGATTGTCGGTAAGTAATATTTTCAAAATGGCAAGTGTACAGAAGATGATGCAAGCGGGCAAGAACATGAAGGACTCTCTCTTGGACCCTGCTGAGGCCGCAGTAGCACTCCGTAAGGAGGCTCCTGTCTTTGATCTTCCCAAGTTTAGTGTTTGTAGAGGTTCTGGAGAAGGTGACTTGTTAGCCAGCTCAAGTCATGACAGAGATTGGACCCAAGACAGTACAGGGAGCAACCTTGGATATAGCCAGCCTCAGAATGTACCACTGTCCAACACCACTAAGACTTGTCCTACCTCCTCGGTGTCTTTAGGTGAGTCAGGCCCTGCACGATTTCACACCACACCATTATTCAGAAACACGAAAAAGGAAAATCACAGCTCTCCTAAAGCCAATGTAGGACTAAATATGTTCTTACCTAATCAGTCTTTCTATGGTTCTGGTACCACTGATGCCTTCTCTAATCCACCACTGAATAAGGTTATTAGTAAAACAGAAGATAATGGCCAACGGGAGGATGGCAGCTTGTCTACCTTCAAAACTGCCAAAGAACAATTATGGATTGATCAGCAAAAAAAGTACCACCAACCCCAGCATGCATCTGGGTCTTCATATGGTGGTGTAAAAAAGTCTCTGGGAGCAGGTAGGTCTCGAGGGATTTTTGGGAAGTTTGTTCCTCCTGTACCTAAGCCAGATGGGGGAGAGCAGAATGGAGTGATGCAATACAAGCCTAATGGGGCAGGACCTTCAGAACCAGTACCTCCTGTGGATGAGCGCCTCAAGAACTTGGAGCCAAAGATGATTGAACTTATTATGAGTGAGATTATGGATCGTGGTCCCCCAGTACACTGGGAAGACATTGCAGGGGTAGAATTTGCCAAAGCCACAATTAAGGAAATAGTTGTATGGCCCATGATGAGACCAGACATCTTTACTGGATTGCGTGGACCCCCAAAAGGCATTCTTCTCTTTGGTCCTCCTGGGACTGGTAAAACTCTAATTGGCAAGTGCATTGCTAGTCAGTCTGGGGCAACATTCTTTAGCATCTCCGCTTCATCCTTGACTTCTAAATGGGTAGGTGAGGGAGAGAAAATGGTCCGTGCATTGTTTACTGTGGCCAGGTGTCAGCAACCAGCTGTGATATTTATTGATGAAATTGATTCCCTTTTATCTCAAAGAGGAGATGGTGAGCATGAATCTTCCAGAAGGATAAAAACAGAATTTTTAGTTCAGCTAGATGGAGCAACCACATCTTCTGAAGATCGAATCCTAGTGGTGGGAGCAACAAATCGGCCACAAGAGATTGATGAGGCTGCCCGGAGAAGACTGGTGAAAAGGCTTTACATTCCCCTACCGGAAGCTTCAGCCAGGAAACAGATAGTAACCAGCCTGATGTCCAAGGAGCAGTGTTGCCTCAGTGAGGATGAAGTCGAGAAGGTGGTCCAGCAGTCGGAAGGGTTCTCTGGAGCAGACATGACCCAGCTTTGCCGGGAGGCTTCCCTGGGTCCCATTCGCAGTTTGCACATGGCTGACATTGCTACCATAACACCAGATCAAGTTCGACCTATAGCTTACCTTGATTTTGAAAATGCTTTTAGAACTGTGCGCCCTAGTGTGTCTCCAAATGATCTAGAGGTTTATGAAAACTGGAACAAAACATTCGGTTGTGGAAAGTGAATGAGGCACTAAAAAGATGGTGTTTCCTTTCTTTAACTTAGGAAACGAGGGCTATGTTAGTGGCCGTTTTTGGAACCTATTCTGAATTCTATACCTCAAACAACAGTTGTTCAAAATTTAACAACTGTTTGATGTATCTTAATATGTTGGATTTGCCTTCTAGTTATGTGATAACATAAGCCTATTTAAATTCAGAGAAAATGAACTCTTTTTCTAAAAAGTGTTTCATTTGAAGAGGTTTAATATGAACTGTAAGTGTGTTGAAGCTTTGGTCTGAAGGTTATGCTTAAATATGAGGATATCCTAATTTATGTTAATATTTACTGAAAAAGTTACAAAGTTCTTAGTGTTGGCCAATGTAATGGTTTAGAAAGCATTTTTTTGTTGTTGTTTAGATGATAAAAGATCTCACCAAAGCTAGAATGAAAGTGCTAATTTTTACTTTCTGATTGGTAGCCTCTTGTGGTTCATTCTTACTCTAATAAAATTTGTGTTTAGAAGTAGCAAAGTGTGGAAGTGGCACTGTGACTCAAGTGGTAGAGCGCTCGCCTTGAGCTGAAGAGTGCAGGGACAGCGCCCAAGCCCAGAATTCAAGTCCCAAGACCGACAAAAAAAAAAAGAAGCAGCAAAGTGTAATTCAGGGTTGAAGACATATCCATACATTCAAAGGTAAAGAATGTTTTTCAGCTGGTTGCTGGTGGCTCATGCCTGTAATTCTAGCTACTCAGGAGGCTGAGATCTGAGGATCATGGCTTGCAGCCAGCCTGGGCAGAAAACTCTGTAAGACTCTTATCACCAATATACTACTCAGAAAAATCCGTAATGGAGCTGTGGCTCAAAACGGTAGAGTGCTAGCCTTGAGCACAAAAGCTCAGGGATAGTTCCCAGATCCTGAGTTCTAGCCCAGGGCCAACAACAACAACAAAAGAATGGTTTTTCAAGATGTATGCGATGTTTGGTATTTTGACATTGATACTACTGTCTTTAAAAATTATATTCATATTTTATAGTGGGTCATCTTGTTTTATAATTAATATCTATTGTAGAAATTTTAGAAAACAGAAATAAAAAGCACTTTAAATTACCACTTGGGGACATGTTATTTCAGCATACCTTATTTTTAGATATTTTATACAGGAGAAAGACTATTCTGTATTCTCCTGCAGTCTGCTCTTTTTTTGCATAAATGATAATAAAGTAATAAGATGCAAATATACCATTTGTATGATCACTTATAGAATTAATTAGCTAGGAGTCTATTGTATGGATGGCTAATAGATGAATGTTGTTAGATAGCATTTAGAATAGAACATTAGGTTATCTTTTGCTTATGCCATACAAAAAGACGTTTAATTATATTTAGTGATTTTTAGAAGTACATGTATATGTGAATTCTTGAGAGTAAAGAATGTAAAGAATGTACCTTTTAAAGCTTGGTATGTTTTCTCAGTTGTCTTCTAGACAGTTTAGATTCTATGTTTTCTAGCTGGCAGAATCTAAAGAACTGTTTATTTGTACCATAGCAGCCTTGGGTGGTAGGCCATTCTGTTTTGTTAGCATTCTTCTTTTTTTTTTCCTTCAGTACTAGGGGTTGAACTCAGGTTCTTGTACTTGCTAGGGAGGCGCCTAGGGAGGCAGTGTGCAAGGGCACATTCCCCAGCCCATTATGCACTTACTAGTTTTCAAATAGGGGCTCGCTTTTTACAAGGACAGTGATCCTTGTAGTGACACCTCCTGTGCAGGTGCATTCTACTTTTAGCATGCACCCAGCCGTTGAGATGGGAGGTCTCATGAACTTCTTACCTAAACTAGCTCAAACTGTGATCCTTCCAATCTCAACCTGAGGGGCTGGGATGGTAGCTCAGTGGTAGAGTGCTTGCCTTGCATGCCTGAGGCCCTGGGTTCGATTCCTCAGCACCACATAAGCAAAAAGAAAAAAGCCAGAAGTGGCGCTGTGGCTCAAGTGGTAGAGCGCTAGCCTTGAGCTGAAGAGCTGAGGGACAGTGCCCAGGCCCAGAGTTCAGGCCCCACAACCGGACCCAAAAACAAAACAAAAAAACAAAAACCAATCTCAACCTGAGTAGCTGGGATTACAGGTGTGAACCACTGTACCCAACTGCCAGTATTTTGTTATTCATTCATTCATTCGTTCACTCATGCATTTATTTAATACTGAATTTGAGCAGTGAACCACGCAGACGTGTTTCCTTGCTTCATGGAGGTTGCATTCAAGTTCTTATATTTTCCTTTATGAACATGACAACTTGTAAGTAAGATATGAAGTACTTTAGTAGGTGAGTTTAGATGTATTTGTGGAATTGTATTGTTTAAATATACTTGATCTGCCTTCTATCTTAATACTGTTCTAAAAGCTTAATTGCAACTTTCAGTGTGTCCCTTTGATATATGATTGTCTTTTATTAGGTTATAATTGCATGTTAAACTTTAGTTCTTATATATTTTTTCTAACAACCTAAAATGTAATGTTTAATACTTTGTTCCTGTCCATTTTATATTTAGTCATTACAATCTCTGATTTATAGGTGTTGATGTTAAGGATTTCTCCCTAGTTGTTCTTGCCTGGAAGTTATTGATTCATGTTTCAGATCCTCCAACCCCCTTAGATGTTACAGTCATTTTGCTGATTCAATTGTCAACAATTGCCCACTCAGTGTTAGAGTATTATTTAACCTGTAACCTAGTCTTAATGTTAGCAGTTAATTTCAGCTGCAGCTTCCGCCTGTCTGACTTTCAGCATCATTGAACACTAACCACAGGGCTACTTCCCCAGTACAGCTTAGTTTAGATTATGTCCATGAGAGAAGTCTCATTGGTTCATCTCATTATGGATTGAGTACAGTGCATTTCTGTGGTAATTATGTGGTATGCATTCTCCCCTAGAAGCAAGTTCTGCTCTACTAAGGGAGAATCTAAACTTAAAAAGAATATCTGAGCTACGCCACATAGAAGCAGTTGACTCAGCCTTTTGAGTATGTTGACAAAGAAGGTATGTCAGGTTCCTTTTTTCTGCATAAAATGGTCAGGATAGGACAGCATAATTTTGCATTAAATTCTCTTCTGAGTGTTGGCACTACAACACCTCTAAAGCATTATTTCAGAGAAGTGACTTACTTTTTTAAAAGTATGTTTCCAACTGGGTGCAGTTCTGGAGGTAGAAATCTGGAGAACTGAAATTTGAGACCAGTCTTAAGAAAAAAGCTAGTGAGACCCCATTTAAACAAATAAGCTTCAAGTATTGACACGTGTTATCCTTTCTGTATTAGGGACATAGGTAAGAGGATTGTAATGTAAGATCAGCTTCGGGCAAAAACGTAAGACTTTATAGGAAAACTTGAAGCAAAAAAGGGCTCGGGGAAGGTGGTTTAAGTAGTAGATAGCTTCTAGCAAGCATCAGGCCTGGAGTTGAAATCCTAGTACAGCCCCAAATATAAAAGGTTTCCTTTTGTAAAAATACATATCAACACATGTCATTGATTGTGGTATTAATGCTTAAAACTTAGTTAGATTATAGGCTCAAGCCTATAATCCTAGCTATTCAAGAGGCTGAGACCTGAGGATTGAGGTTGGAAGCCAGCCCAGGCAGACAAATTCATGAGATTTATCTCCAATTAACCAAAAAGCTGTGGCTTATAGAGTACCAGCTGTGAGCAGCAAAAGCTGAGCAAGAACTCATGGACCTAAGTTGAAGCTCCTAACACCAGCCAACAAAACAACAAGAACTTAAAACTTTTGTTAGGAATATGGAAATTTATTAGAATTTATAATGTTAGACTATTTACTTTCTTTTTTGGTCACCAGCACCTGGCTGGTTTCAGGGTTTTTAATACTTGGAAAATAATTCATTCCTTAATATCCTTAAATCCCCTTTTAATCCATATAACCTTTTATTTTTAAGTGAAAAATATAAAATTACATGTGTTAATGTAATACCATGTAATATCATATTTGTCTACCTTGTGCATTGTTTAAAAAGATTGGTTCAAATATCTGTCATTCCTTTACAGTAAAAACATTCAGTATCTTTTTATCTAGCTTCCCCCCTCCCCCGGTGCTGTGCAATGAATTCTGGACCTGTGTGCTGTCCCTAAGCTCCTTTGCTCAAGACTAGCACTCAATAACATAGATCCCATGGTTTCCCTTATTTGCAATAACTAGTATATGTCTGAGACAAGCACAAAAGGTCAGATAAGATGATGTTAGGCAAAATGAACCCCAAGATAAGGACACAAGTGGTTTTTTCTTTCTATTGTTTCTAATGTATTTATAGGGTGATGTTTTGTTGTTGTTGTTGCTTTGTATGACCATTTGAGCTACTGAACCACTTCCTGCTTTTTCTGAGATAAATTGGAGATAAGAGTCTCGAAGACTTTACTGCTCTGCTCTGCCTCAACCCATGACCCTTAGTTCTCAGCCTCTGGAGTAGATAAGATTACAGGTGCAAGCATCCAGCACCTGGCTTATCTAGGTTTTAATGTATGCATAGGTATGGTGTATACTCATTCTGCCGTGCATGTACACACCACAGCTTCCATTTTCCTGTTTAAGGAACTTGATATCCATTGGGAAAGCCTTTCCTGTCCTTTTCCTCTTTCATACTTCTCTCCTAATCCTCTAGTATTGACTAGTCTTCATTCCTGTGAGACTAACATTTTTACATTCCACATATGAATGAGATCATGTGGTACCTGTCTTCTGGTGCCTGGATTATTTCATTAAGGATCTCCACTTCCATCCATGTGGATTTCACTTATTTTTCCTGTGCATAGGATGAACCTTGATTAGACCTACTCTCTTCATCACTCTCCCTTTTCCTAATACCCCTTTTTCTATTTCAATTTCCTTTTTTTTTTTTTTTGTTGGATTGTGGGCTTGAACTCTGGCCTGGGCACTGTCCCTCAGCTCTTCAGCTCAAGGCTAGTGCTCTACCACTTGAGCCACAGTGCCACTTCTGGTTTTCTTGTGGTTAATTGGAGATAGGAGTTTCACAGACTTTCCTGCCCGATCTGGCTTTGAACCGTGATCCTCAGATCTCAGCCTCCTGAGTAGCTAGGATTACAGGCGTGAGCCACTGGTATCTGGCTAGAGCCTCATGTTCTTGCTTGGCTCTTTTGCTCTCATGACTGGTGATCTACCACTTGAGCTGCACTTGCACTTCTGCCTTTTTGCTGGTTAACTTAAAAGACAGAATTTTTAAAGGCCTGGTTTTCTCAGGAGAGTGAGATCTGAAGATTGTGTTTGGCAGCCAGTCCAGAAAGGAGGATCCATGAGACTTGCCTCTGATTAACCACTGAAAAGCCAGAGATGGAACTGTGGCGCAAACGCACTAGCTTTGAACAAGAAAGCTTAGGGACAGCACAGGCCTTAAGTTCTAGCCCCAGGACTGGCAAAAAAGATGGCCTGATTTGTGACTCTAAACTTGTGTTGCCTTTTCATTCACCTTGATTTTGCTTTCATTGTTCCAAAGGACCATTTTCTTGACTACTTTTGATGTTGTCTATTTAAGATCATTCTGTTTAGTGTTGGCAATATTTGAATCTTGTTTTTACAGATCCTATTTCATCTAAATTTGTTTTTATGTTTATGGAATGTCTGAAAAGAAGCTTTTGGTCCCAGATTATTTTTTACTTATTGAGCTTTACATGTTCTTTGTTGACCTTTCCCCTCTTTATTGTATTCCCAGTGTTTGTAGGAGATGCTTTACAACCCACCTCCAGAAGTCTGATATACGGAGA